GAGGCCGATCGGCGTGTATTGACGCGATTGTACTCTCGTTGTGAGGGCGCCTTAAGAAAATTCCGTTGAATCAACCGCGATCTTATTATCGTCGCGCGGCAAACGATAAGACTGGGTCCGCTAATCGATACCGACGGACTAATTTATATCGGTATATTTCCGCGCGGAACGTCTTCATCGCTAGGTATATACTTTTAATAGATCTATTTCTCGTCGCGATCTCCTTCCGGGCGGTCTATTTCCGAATCGTCCGGACCAGTTAATCTTTACGCCAACTTCTATTCATTGCGCGCCGAGGAATTCCAAATGTTCATTCAGCGGCTCACTCGAGAGAGTCTTCGCGCGATGTCCCTCCCGACTGTTTTCCCATTTCCCTCGCATTTCCGGGTTTTACCGCTTTTCCAAGCTCGACGGCGCTCCGTAGCCCGTGTTTGTGCGCGCACACGAGGGTACGATATCGCACAAACTCCCTATTATTACCGCCTTCTCATGATCGCGCGACGCCTACAAGCCAATGATGTTCTCTCTCCATCTCTCTCTCTCTCTCTGGAACGTTTACCAAGCACAGAAACGCATCCATACACGGGACCACGTAAGCACTGTGCTGTCTCCTTATCTCGATTGCACAACGTCGATCGCATTCCGTTTCCCTTGTTTCGCAGCGACGAGCATTTTTCGCGCTTCCGATGCCTGCGTTCGTTCCTTGTCATGCTCATTTCTGCGATCAACAAGAATTTGCATTCGCACTCTACTGCGTACCAGCGATAAAGAAGAGGCTCGCGTTTTAACAAGTTTGCAGCTTTTTGTCCTTGACGTTGAGAACGCAAAGGGAACGCACGGTCGCTAAACATTGTCCCTTTGTCGGCAGCTCGTTAAACTTCCTTATTTAAATCCGTCCGTCCACGCACTCCCCCGAACCTTTCCCAACAAGCAGGCACAACGCATACCGGCGAACACCATTTATCACTGTAATTAAAACACCGCTAATTACCATGCATTAATCCATCTCGATTTAAATGAGATTGTAATGAATACTCGTTTATCCGCGCGTATAATGTGCCGCGTGTGAGCAGAAGCATATCGCAGGAGTCGCACGGCAACAGCAATGCGAAACCGGCAAATCGATCGGCACCTTCTCGGTCTACCGCGATCAGTGAATTTCTCTGCAATTCGCTTACGTGGAGTAACGCGAACGCTGCCCGTGGACAAACGACGCAAACACCTTGTCACCAAAATATTGCGTTGGAAGGGAAGTGATGTATCTTTAGTTCAAAATTGAAGCAAAATTCATATTCGAAACTACAATTAATAACGACCGTTATTTTCTATAATCTTTTGCCATTTTTGGGCAGCTGCATAATTTCTCGCTTATAGAACTCGGGCGTTTTCTTCTCAATGAAAAACTGCTGAAGGTGTTTTTTATAATCCTCCAAAAAAGTGAACGCCTTATCATTAAGGAAGTCGGGCTAGGACCGAAACAAGTAATAATCCGAAGGATCAACGTATGACGAATATGTTGGATGCGGTAGAACATTTCAGATGAATAGCGGTATTTTTATGAGGTCTGGCGTTATCTTAATGGAATAAAATACTCTTTCCACTCACCAGTTCTGGACGTTTTTCTGCAATGGCTTCCTTTAGTTTGTCCAATTGGGCACGATACTCGTCCAAATTAAGCCATACGCTTTTTGGAAGGAGCACATAGTACACAATACCCTTCCAGTCCCATAAAATACATAGCATGACCTTCTCTGGTCCAAGTTTTAGAGTTGTCAACAGCTATTCTGAATCCTGATAAGGTCCAAGTTTTAGAGTTGTCAACAGCTATTCTGAACACTTTTCCCACACACAGAAAAATATTACTTTCCCTGCGAAGAAAAGCAATTATTCGATTTGTTTTTCTAATCTTAAATAATGGTTATCTTGTACAAAGAATATTTCCTTGATAATAGTTTAAAATATACTTATCGCAAATGTTAGGAAAATTTATTATAATTTATCCAAAAGAATTTGTTCTCTTTTCAAGAATATTATAAACTTTATCGAAGAAAGTTAAATTCGTTTAGTTGGAATAAGTAAACCGAAATTTTAGTTCTAATGTTTTGTTAAATAAATTTTGGAATGATACTTATCATAAATACATCAAATTTATTTAAAATATATTCTCAATCCTAGCAAGTTTAGTACTTCCATCAAGAATATGATATTAAGACACTAAAACTAACACTTCAGTTTATCTTATCTCAATTAACCGAATTTAACTTTTCTTTGATAAAGTTCATAATATTTTTGAAAAGAACAAATTTTTCTTTTAAATAAATGATAATGAGTTTTTCCAACATATGTTTTGAACATATTTTAATACTATATCAAGAAAATATTCTTTGTTCAAAATAATTATTACTTAAAAGAAAAAAATTAAACTGAATAATTGCTTTTCTTCGAAGTACAAATAATATTTTTCTTTACAGAACCATTTTGCACACAGTGTTGTAGATAACTCATTCTTCATCGCTTATCACGATTCATTTAAAAAACGCGTCGTCTTCATTGAAATAACGAATCGCAGTTGAAAATGCGATCGATTAAATTTTTTTCAGACAAATCACGCGATACCCAGATGTCAAGGCGATTCACGTATCCAAGCTTATGCAAATGCTCGATGACAGTTGTATGTGATAAACAAAATATTTCTGCAACCTCGAGTACCGCTGATTATTCTCGACTAAAGTCTTGGTTTTGTCGTCATCAGCAACGGCCGGTCGTCTAAAGCATTTCTCTTCTTCGAATGTCGTGTATCACCAGCATGAAATTTCGCAAATCATCTCGGGCACTCAGTTGCATTCAGTAACGGCATCCTCTTCATACACGGCACATATTTTTTTTCATTTACGTCGCATTCTCCTTTTCGGAAATAAAAACAGTATCAACGAGCAAAAATACAGGTTATTTTGCTTCATTTTCCCTCGAGTCTCTGGTGAACACAAACCTTTCTATATATGATTTCCACGTACTAAATGACGCTTAAAAGTATTGGCTGTCACAATAGCATGCATTTATGCCACCTAAATTGAGGTTTCTTTCTAATAAAATGTACTAAAGCCATCTATTGGAAATATACGACACTACTTTCCTTCCAACCCAATATTTTCGTATCCGCATGACGTAATGACGCACGACAATGCCGCGAGATTGATACCACGCCGGTGGACTGTCGAACGCGATGGAGTTCGGAGTGTTTTAAACGCGAACGGAAGTCCGGGTTAATAAAAAAAATATTTTTTCCCTTCGTAGCGCGCGAGGAGCTAACTTTGCGGAGGTACACATCCGCGGAATTTTCCGATCGGAGGGATCCCGGGGTAAACAACGAGGTTTCTTTTTTTATTTCCGCGCAAATAACAGATAACGCGCGCATGTCGCAATCGCGTCGGCGGATATTTTCCATTTATGCGCCTTCAAACGCGCTAATTTGTTTTCTCGACGGGTAATTTAACGGTGGGTGCGACGTACGCGCCAACGAACGGGGCGCCGCCGGTCGGCGCGGAGAAAGGTCGAATACGCCCCGGATTGGGAAATAATTGGAAAATTACAGTGATTCGACATAAACACGCCTAATACAGAGACAAACAGGTAAACAGGTCACTCTGTCGTCGGTAATTCGACCTCTTAAGCGTATATACATCGAAGTATACACTGCGCATCGGAGGTGGTCATTATGACGCCATCTCGGTAGATCGAATTATGTATCATCAATTGCCCGGTTCTCCGTTTCATTGATACATCGGGTAGAGAAAACAGTATTTGCACACATCGTCCTTCTCGAGATCGACCTGACCGAAGTCGAAGGGAAGAAAGATCGGCCGCGATGGGAACGACAGTTTTCTCTTCCGCACAAAAGTATCCCGAAATATAAACATTTTTCTAGGCCGACGTAACCTCAATTGCGTGTATTTCGAGATCTTCGATACTTTCGCTCTTGCAACAAACTCACCGAGGAACGATTCACCAGGAATGCTGGTGGACTGAGAAATGCAAAATTAACAGAAAACTCGTTTTGAAAGCAAGGGAGAAAGAATAGAGAAGAGACAGCGCGTGTTTTTGCATAAAACCGCGGCGACTAGGGGAGCTCTTTTTTTACCGAAATTGTAGAAACTACGGGGGGGGGNATTGTGATATTTTTTATCGTGCCAGAGGAGAGCGTTCGCGCAAAGCAAATTGTTTGCTTTTAAAACAGAAATAGCTCGGCTTGCGGCATGTTTGTATACAAAACGCGATCATTCAACGATCCGTAATCGAATATCGGCCTCGACTATTCTGCGGCGTGGCTATTAGGGATACGTCATGCATGAAGTACACGTGTGGTGCAAGAAGTTGCGGAGCGAAGTCTCGTGCAGTCAAGGCGTGTTCAAACCGCCCGCAATTCGCCGGGAAGTCTCGGTCTCGTAGGAAGTATACACGGTGTTCCGCAATACATTCGGCAAATTTCGATGTAATAAAGATACCGTTGGACATAGAAAAGCTCGTCTGCATCTTCGCGATTTAATTAGCGCCGAGATGCTTCAACGATCACATCGAGATATTAAAATTCCGTCCGCCGAAGCTTCGTTCGCGTTTTCTTTTTTTAATTAATCGCCCGCAACTTTCCCAAACACCACCGGGGCAGCTTATCACACTCGTCGAAAGACGTTCGATTTAAAATTGTCCCAAGTATTCGTAAAGCAAGACTCGTCGGAGAAATAGTACGTGAAACATCGTGTACATGGTTGATTCGACAATACGTTTTCACGCGTTGCTGTGAACACAACGGCGACACCGATTTCATTTCCTTCGCCGGCACTCGCGTATCTTGTAAAAATAATGAGAACACTCTGTATAAACTGTCGTCTGGCCCTATCGATTAACAAGGGGGATAACCAAAGTACACGTCTTCAAAGGGCTGGCATGGTCCATTGGTCTCTTTCGCCGCAAAAGGGAGCTCGCGATGGTTCGTGAGTACTTACGTGGGTCGTCGATACAGCGCAGCGTTCCCGCTAAAAGTACTGCCGGCCAACGTCGATGGTGGTGCGTCGATAACACAATCACTGGTAGAGCACTGCCGCCAGCGTGTCCCACATTACTTGCCATGCCGATAGTCCGAAATCACTGCACAAACCAAAGGAGGCCGTGAGAGCGCGACTCGAACGGAATGGAACCGAACAGAAACTGACTGATCGAGCGACATTCGCAATATTCCGAGCGATTGTGATCTTACGTAATAGATGCGCTCACGCGATATTAATATTACTATTGAGCGAGTCGTGACGCGTCTTTAATTATTCGGGCGTGCGACGGAAGCGCGGCTTCTAGGAATGGAAATAAAGGATATTTGTTTACCGGTGGACTCAACAGGCTTAATAACAGGCCGCTTACGAAACACGCGAGGCGGCGCTTTTTCGTTTTCCGACACGTTCGATGTGCGACGTAGTATATACGACGGAGAGGCTTCTCTCTCCTCTACGCCTCCTCGTCGATCGAGCGTTTCTTAATTCCCTCTCTCGCCGAGGCAGTTATCAATGAGCGATATGCCGGCATTGAACGTGTTACGGTGTATGCGTAACACGTGAGAGAACCTTTTGACAGCGAACTACCAAACAAGTTTATTTTGCGATTGGTATCTTTGATGTTTGCCTCGCCAGATGCGGTCGAATAGTTTTTAAAATGATATTTTCTCGAGTACGTCGCTGTGCGCGCAAGATGGTTCGTTCGTTCATTGGCTCGTCCGCTCGTTGAAACCGGGCCGATATCTCGAGCCGACGGGCTAATTGGCACTAAATAAATTGATTATAGTTGAATGATATTGCAGTCCAGCGCGATATACGTAAACCGCGCGAACGGGCAGAATTTATTCGATAAAATCGCGCCTTTTTTCCCCACGTGCTAGACGAAAACTAGGTCAACTATCACATATTTAAAGAACCTAGATCTTATCTGGCAATATCGTTTGAGTTTTTTTTTCTCTCAGGCTGAAATTGATCCGGAGGATTTCCCGTACGCTCGTCGCTCAAATATAAACCCGATCATATTTCGCGGGTAATTGAATTCCGATGTTTCACGGAAAAGTCCGAATTTTCGAGAGAACGATTACACACGAAGTTACGTATCTCACTTTTATAACTTCGCCGGGACGAGACACGTGTAATTTTCCGGTTCGTCGTTATCCTTTCAACTTTCGATGGCGCGGTCTCCATTGAGTCCCGCAGAAATTGAATATTCTCACCGAGGCAAACTTTCGGATGCGTGCCGCTGTTATTGTCGAATAAATTCCCTACAAACGCACGATGCAAATGTAATATTCGCGGGCGCGCGCCGACAGTTTGTCCCGTTATAATATTATGGAGCGAAACGCCATTGAAACGAAAGCGAATTTTGCACGTGGCAAAGCGTAATATTCTCGCGCGCGGGTAAAGCAGCCACCATTGCGGAACGAATCTCGCTTAAATCGAATCGGATTTCGCGCGGCGCAAATTACGTATCTTGCGCTTTCATACAAGCCGGCTCGCGCGCTCTGTAATTACAAGCGATCGCGATCACGGTAACTAAGTCCGACGACGGATCGACTTCTCGCCGATAGGGATGGTGTAAGATGGTCGTTCGATATCGCGCGAAACTGGCTCGGGAAGGGAGACAAATCGCGCGCCTCGACGAAGGTTAAATTATAGAAGCACGACGACGACGAGAACGAAGGAGAAGTCTCCGTGTATGCGCGACCAAGCAACCGACCACGCGCCGTTCGTTCGTTTACTCCGTCCCACCTCCGAACAGGTTGTCGTGCACACACTTTCGCAATGGAATCCCAGTTATTTCAAAGGCACGCATACGCGCGCGCGACCCGTTCCCGTTGCCCGAGATCGGCGTGCGTGGCCGCGCGCTCGCTGTTGCGTTGCGTCGCGCCGCGCTACGCACTACTGGAGTAAAGTCGACGGCGACGGTCGCGTATACTCTCTCGAAACATCGGCACAAAGTTGTGTGCGTGCCTTCACCTTCCTTCCCCAGGTATTCGTATCCTTGCTTTCGATGCACGCGTTGAGACGCATCATAATGCGCGTACTTCCCTTCTCCATCTTCTTCTCTTTTATCTAAACGCGCGACACAGCAACGCACCCCAACAACGAGGTTCAAAGATTTTAATGCGCGTTAACGCGTCATTGAATTAAAATAAATAAAAGGAGTCGTGATAAAAGAGAAATTCGGCAAATTATTCGAGCCAGCCTCGGCGGCTTTGAGGGAGAGAAATATTCGCAGCTCCGATCCGCGGATTCGTGTTCCTGTTATTACAGGGTGCTACTCAAATCTGAAAAATATTTTCTGAAAATTCCCCCATTTTCCAGGCAATTTGATAAAAATTTCTAGTAATGTAAAAATGTTTTTATATGTATCTTGTCAATGGATATATGTTGTGCAAAGTTTTTAATATTTTTCACTCATAAAAATGTGTAAAAAAGCTAACTCTAAAATATAAATATTTTATATCGCATACAATTTGTAAATCTGATTTTTAAAGTTATACATACAAAAAATTATGTAACGCATAACTGGTATAAAATTCAACTTTTTATAAAAATAAACATCTTAATTAAACAAAATTGCACCTAATACGAAAGCGGTGTCTTCAATATCGGATTAGTCGTAAAATCAGTGTTTTGAACATTAATGTAATTAAATATTTAAATTGTATACGTAAATATAGAACGAATAAGAGAATCTATTACAAAGATAAAAGAAGTGATAATATTAATTAAATTCCCCGATTTCCAATAAAATTCCCTGATTTTTCCAGGTATAAACCAATTCTCAGAGAATTCCAGATTTACCAGGTTTTTTCTAGGCAGTAGAACCTGTATTATAACTGCGAAACGCTTGATATCCGGAAAAATCTCGCGACAGATAATTCCCGCGCATTCACGGGGTCCGTGTGGTCTAATGAGATTTTTATCGGGGAAAAATCATCCTCCAGTCGGTGGGTTATAAGCGTAAAAACTCTGTCTCCCTTCTCAGACAATCGTATCGCCACTGCAATCGTCGTCGCAACGCTTTGTCCGTATATTAAGCAAAAGCTGACAGCGCTTCCGATTTCGCGAGTGGAAATTCCTGTATCGCGTCCGGACAAAAGTTGGAGCTAAACAGCCGCATGCAACGCTAAACGCAGCTCACAGATGCGGCGCACGTACGCGAGTATCCGTATCGTTAGGATTCCGCATCGCGACGAGCGACACTTCCGGCGTCCCTCTCGTGCGCGCGGGTAAACTCCAACTTTGGAAATTCGTACCACTCCAAAGTACTACCCGCGATAGGTTATTTGTACCGCCGGCGTGTCCTGCGAGATAGAGATGGTTAGAGAAAGAGCGAGCGAACCCTGACGATATTTCGTGCCAACATAAGCATCTTCCGAGATTCGCCGTCGTGTAATATTGTTACGGAATCCTGTCGCGTCGCCGTGGTCCTATTTCGCGGCAGAAGCTATTTCCACGTCGGTACCACGCGCCCTGAGTGCAGCCACTTTCAAATATTCATCTCCTCGTGAGATATTGTTGCCGGCCAAGTGCGCGGGGCGTGGCGTGGGACGGAGAGAAACCTCTCGAAATTTAAAGCCACACGCGATCTAGACGAGTGATCGGGGGGGGGGGGGG